ATAAAATATTTAATTATATATATAATTATTATAAAATTATTATAATTTTTTATGACTTTTAAATAAAATAATTTTAAAAAATTATCAAACGAGTACATATCTAAAAATATTATACTACATGAAAAAATCCCCAAGTGCAATCACAGACCTGCCCTATAATAGGCTTGTACGTACGTGGCGGTTTAATTGGTTCCATGTGGGCAGCACCGTTGGTGCCAGGTAGACTTCTCTTAGCTGCACTAACGGAACTTTATCAGGATAGACCAATTTGATATAATTTTAAAAGTTAATAGACTAATTAGATGTAAAAAATAGTTAATAGACAAAATAGTTAAAAAATCTATAGTTAATTGACTATTTTTAAATTAAGCCAAAATTACTTAATATTGTTTATTTATGGTTTTGGAAAAGGATCTTCGAAGGACTATGCTAAGAATTTAATTTGTCTTCGATTCTTATTAATTAAGAAACAGAAGATAAGTAGGCTTGCCGAACATACCTTGCAAAAAAGGAGAAAAGGCAGCTAATCAACTTCTTTGACAATTTGGTCTGCTAAATCAATCCCATGTCTAGAACTTTCATCTGCAAGTTTAATTACGAATAGAAGTTTCAACTGCTGATAACTAATTACTTTACAAGTTTCTTTTTTTTTTTTTTTTTAATAAGCAAAAATCACTTGTCAATAATAATATATCATTAACAAGAGTTTGACCAAATTCAGGTAAAGACTTAAACCATTGTAATACCAGGCAATATTATCTAGCAATATACACAAAAAAGTAATAATTACTTGCAACTTCTATTCATAGAAAATCATGGCTATTGATTCATCTCAAACAAATAAGAATTAGTTGCAACTTCTTTTTTTTTTTTTTTTTGAAATTTTTTATGTAGAAATAAGCTAGAATTATGTTTAAGAGTACAAATAAGTTTACTATTGGATCATATGGCTTATATTAAAATTAGTTGCAACTTGTATTCATAAAGAACAACAACTATTGAATCATCACTTAGAGTTTTTTTCAGGATCACAATTCCTATTTTATGGGCTCCTTTTAATCACAACTCATGTTATTTATTACAGCTTATTATTTCTATCTAATTATTATAACTATTAATCTATCAACACTGACAAGAATTTGGACAAGTTAATAACTATCAACTTAAAAACCTTAATATTTGGGGTTAAGGTCAATAATTTAAATCTTTATAATACTAAATAGTCAACTCTTTAATGTACTTAAAAAAAAAACTATTAATCCATAAATGACAACCATTTCTCCATAAATTACAATTCTTTAACTTGTATTTGCTATGGAGTTTTATAAAGAGAAAGGAAAACAAAAAATATTATGGATTTGCTATAGTCTGATTTCTGTCAATACATTAACCTAATGTGGGGTGAAAGTTAAGATCATATCCAGAGAGAAATTAATGTGGAGATATGGATAAACCAATTCAAAACTAATCCAAAAGTACTCTAACCTAACAATCCGAACCAAAAAAATATCATATTTAAAATTAGTATTATAAGCGAAAAAGTTGAAATATTAATATTCAATGATGCCAACATTATAAGCTAGATAGCCGGACTTACCTTTCAAACATTTCTTTAGATCTCTGAGCACTGAAGCCAAAAGCTAATGACTTTGTGTGTCGAGAGGCCAGAATTTTGGTGCTTCAGGAATATAAATACAACACTCAACAGATTGAGATTATTACTTTATTCCTTACCATTAAAAACTTTTAGGATAATGTTAGGTGCACACTCCTCCGTTACACATTTTATGACACATACTCACTTCGTTACTTTCCGTTCCATTAACACCTAAATACATCCAACTCATCTAATTTGCAATTTCACGTTCTTTGATTTCAGCCTTCCTTCTTTTTCCTCCTCCTTTCTTTTTCTTCTTCTTTCCCTCTCCTCCCCTCTTCTTCCTTCTCTTCCCCGCCCCACCCCCACCCCACCCCACCCCCTTTAAATTTGTTTGAAGGAGAACCCGATTTGGGTTGTCCACGGGAACCCAAATTGGATTGTCCAAGAGAACCCACGGGTTCTCTTGGAGGAGGATGATGGAGGAGAGAGAAAAAAAAGAGGAAGGAAAGAGGAAAAAAATAATGAATTTTTATAAATTTTGGTTAGAATTTTTATAAATTTGATAATATAGTGTGTTGTTTGGTTGATAAAAACATTGTTTGGTTGATTAGGATGAGGATGGAGGTGAGGAGCAAGATGGATTTGGTTGGTGAGAACTGTGAACAGCAAGAAGGAAAAAGGAAAGGAGAGAAAGAAAGGGTTGGTTGGTCAATGGTGTAATTAATGAAAGTAACGGAAAATGAAAGGTGTAACGGAGTGTGTAAGAAAACAAGATGAATCTATCATTGTCTAAAGTTTTAACATCACTGTTACGTAGATTCTCATTCTATACTTAAACGGATATATGCATGACTAAATTTAAAGTAAAAGTTAAAAAATATTCATGGGCTAATTGATTTGCCAATAAGAAAGAAATATTGGCTTGAAGAGTAAGTACTCTTCAAGAGTGCACCTGAGAATCTTCTATTGACCAATCCTGAAAACTCGATCTTCAAAATAATGCATTATTGATTCTTTTTGTTGCTCTAATTTTAAGAATGAATTTACATTTCTTTGCTAAACCCAAATGGAGTTGAAATTGTTTGTATTTTTCATATTAGAAATATTTTATACAATTAGGACAGCATTGAACTTCACAAAAAATCTATATATTTTTTAGCCTTTACAAAACTAACAATCAGATTGGGGGAGGCTCCCTAAATGTGGGGGCTTCCCCAATTTGATGGTCCCTTTTATGCAACTTCGTGTATAGTGATGCATTAAAATTTACAAATGTTCGAGTTGTTCAAGTTATAAAATAATAAATAGAATATCATTCTTATGGAAATTATAACTAACTAAATACTGAAAAACTAATTTTAAAATTATTTGAAAAATTAAAAAGAAAGAATTTCTAACTAAAACTAATTGATTAAAAGAAAATAACAATTTGAAATGAAATCATCCAGATATGAGGTATTAAGGTATCTGACTTCATTACAACTAATTAACATATATTTTAAATTATTATCTTTTAAACATGTTTACTACCACTTATGTGACAATATGATTTCTTATCATATTTGACAAACTCTCACAAATTATAACAAAATCTATCTCTGCTTATTAACTCGCTATATTTTTATGTGAATTTAAATGAATAAAATTATATTATCTTAAGTGAAAACTTTTAATTTATGTAGAAAATTAAGTTTACTTATTGTCATAACTCAAATTTAAAAAAAAAGAAAAAGAAAAAAGAAGAAACAAAAAAATAAAAAATATAAAAATATGAAAATTTCCCTTTTCTTTGACTAATATATCTTTATTTTGTTTCAGGTGCTACATGCAAAAAAAAAAAAGAAATTGAAAAATTCAAGAAGAAGAAAGAAGGGACTCAATTAAAGAAATTAAAAGTTGGAGGGGTGAAGTTCATCAAAATGAATTTACAAACCCAAACCCAAAACCCATCAAACCCAAGCCCAAAATCCCAATACCCATTTAACTCAAACCCAAACCCAAACCCAAAAACCATCAAAAACCAGCCCACTACCCAAAACCCACTTAAAAAAAAAAAACAAAAAAAAGAGGGGACGGACGGAATCTCCTTCAAAAGCCAACCCTAGCCTTCTCTCTCTTCCAAAATCGGCAACATGCCAAGAAGAAGGAAGAGGGCTGCAGAGCAGAAAAACAGAAAAGGGGAAAGATCTCCTGCCCTGCGCACCTGCACCAGCCTGCGCCCCTGCCCCCTGCCTTGCACCCTCTGCTGCGCCTTGTCCCTGCGCCTGCACCGAGCCCGCGCCTAGATCCCCTTTGCTCTGCGCCGTTGACCTTGCTTGCTGCACCGAGCACGCGACCCTGCTTGCTGCAATCCGCTGCACCAGCCCCTGCACTGGCCCTGCATCAGCCTGTGCCCCTGCACAGGCCCTGCACCAGCCCTGCACTTTCCTCTTTTGCGCCCCTGCGCCTCAAAACCCCTCTGCCCTGCGCGCCTGCAGCAATCTCGCGCCCTGCATCGGCCTTGCGTCACGTCCCCTGGTGGCTGCAATCCCCTGCACCAGCCCAGCCCGTGCCTGCTCAAGAAACAAACAAAAAAAAAGAGGGGCTTTCGTCCTTTGCTTTCCCTGCAGAAATCAGCAGCCCGAGTTCAAATTTTTGGTGAATCAACGGCAAAAAAAAGGGGGGCAGGATTGGAATGCTAAAAAAAAGGGATCTCTGCCATTTGCTCGGGTATAAGTAGAGAGTTGTGGGTTAGGAATAGCGGGGGTTTTTTCTCTTTGGTTGGTTGTTCTCTCGGTCTGAGTTTGGGGTTTTGCTTGAGAACAGCGGGAGGATTACTGAGCTGAGCAAGATTGTGCATTTTTTTTGGGTTTTCATCTTAGGTATTTTCCTGCAACAGAGGAGTCCTTTTGGGAGGCAGTGAAGGGGATGATCTAGACTTGATCTCGTGGGAGGGATCCGCCAGATCGGACTCCGATCTGTTACCCAGAAAACTCCGCCGTGTTTGTTTCTTTTTTTTTTTTTTGTTTCTATTATCTGCCTTCTTGGTGTTAAGTTTGTAAACGTTTATCTGAAAATGAATGAGAATCTAAGTTTAACTAAGTTATTGTTTTTGATGAATTTGCTTTTTCTTAGCTGATTGGTGAATGTGATTCTGTTCACGATGAACGCGTTCTTTCTGTTCTTTTAAGAGACATGAGCCCTAGTTGCAAGTTTCTTTTGTGCATGTTTGATCTGTATTTGCTTATTTTTGAATA